GGAGGTTGTTCGACATACACTTCTTCTTGAATGAAACCATTCAAGAAAGCACTCTTGACATCCATTTGGTACAGTTTAAAATTCATAGTAGCGGCATACGCAAGTAGTAATCTAATGGCTTCTAATCTCGCTACAGGGGCATAAGTCTCATCAAAGTCTATACCTTCTTGTTGATTGTAGCCTTTAGCTACAAGCCTAGCTTTGTTTCTAGTGATAATACCATTTTCGTCGAGTTTGTTTCTAAATACCCATTTGGTGCCAATAATTGAATGACGTGGCCTAGGCACAAGTTCCCAAACGTCGTTACGTTTGAATTGATCCAACTCCTCATGCATAGCCATAGTCCAGTATTCATCATTAATGGCATCATCAATGGTAGAAGGTCCTATTTGAGATACAAAAGCCATATGATTAACTAAATTGCGTAATGAGCTACGAGTAGTTACCCCTTTGGAGATTTCACCAATCACATTGTCTAAAGGATGATATTTTGAAGTTCTCCATTCGGGTGGTAACTCATTTGCAATATGCTCTTCCTTTTTGTCCTCAACTTTTTCTTTAACAACTTCTTGTTTTTCAGATTTTGCCTTACTTGATTCACCTTCTTCAAGATTCATTTTCTCAAGTGAACCTGCAAGGTCATCACAAGATACCCTTCCTGACAAGCGAGCATTATTTTTATCAAACACAACATGTATAGATTCTTCAACAGCTAAGGTACGTTTGTTGAAAACTCTGTAGGCCTTACTTGTCAAAGAATAACCTATAAAAATTGCTTCATCTGACTTGGCATCAAAAGGTCCTAAATTATCTTTTCCATTATTCAAAACATAACATTTGCAACCAAAGATGTGAAGATGTGAGAGATTAGGCTTTGTACCCTTATACAATTCGTACGGAGTAGCATTGAGTATAGGTCTTATAATCGCACGATTGAGAATATAAGCACTAGTACTCACTGCATCCGCCCAAAAGTACTTAGGTATGTTAGCCTCACTAAGCATAGTTCTCGCCATCTCTTTGAGAGATGGGTTTTTCCGCTCAACAACGCCATTCTGTTGAGGCGTTCTTGGGGCTAAGAAGTTATGTGCAATGCCTACTTCATCTCAGTAGGTATCAAACCCACTTTGATCAAACTCTCCACCATGATCACTTCTTACGGCCACAATGCTACAACCTTTTTCATTTTGAACCTTTTTAGTGAATTTGCGAAAAGATGAAGGTGCATTACTCTTGTGAGAAAGAAATCAGGTCCATGTATAATGAGAGTAGTCATCAACAATAACCAAGGCATAGTAATTACCACCTAAACTCATAGTTCGAGAAGGTCCAAAGAGATCAATGTGCAAAAGCTGCAATGGTCTAGAAGTAGAAACAACTTTCTTTGATTTGAAAGAGGTTTTTACTTGTTTACCCTTTTGACATGAATCACAAATTCCCTTTCAAATTTGAGTTTAGGAACACCAATTACTAGGTCTTTTGAAACTAATTTATTAATCAGTTCCATATTGGTGTGACCAATTGTTTTATGCCATAGCCACATCTCTTCCCCTTTAGTAATGAGGCAATGAGCAAAGTCCGTTGGAGTAATTTCAAGGTTGATCATGTAAATATTATCTATGCGATCGCCGGTAAGGATAATCTTGTTATCACAAAGGCGTTCGACCATGCAATGGTTAGAAGTAAAACTAACACGGTTACCTTTATCACACAATTGACTAATGCTAAGCAAATTATGCTTGAGGCCTTCGACCAACAACACATTTTCAATTCCGGAAGCTTTGTTTTTGCCAACAATTCCGGTTCCAATGATTTTTCCTTTGTTGTTGTCGCCAAATATGACATTTCCACCATCAATTGATTTTAGAAAAACAAATTTGGATGCATCTACGGTCATGTGCTTGGAGCATCCGCTATCAAGGTACCATAGTACACTTGATGCCTTCAAGCACGCCTGTATAATTATTTAATTAGGGGTTTTAGGTACCCAAATCTTTTTGGGTCCTTGAGAGTTAGTATGAACATCATAAATATCAATGTGTGCCCTCTTCCTATCCTTAGCAATCAATCTAAGCTTTCTAAAACATACAGGAGCTATGTGTCCAAAGTGATCACAGAAATGACAAACAACTCTAGGATCATACATATATCTATATGGACTAGAGTGTCTCCTATGTGTCCTAAAGTTGCTAGGTTGTCTAGGTGCATTCCTTACATTCCTAAAATTGCTAGGTTGTCTATTTCTAGGATATTGTCTAGGTTGTCTAGTGAACCTATGATCAACGTAACTCCTAGACTCACTAGGTTTTCTCATCCTAGAAGTAGTGGGGGT